CAGCCACCACACAGCAGCCAGCTCTGTTGGAGGGGTTTCAACCCTACTGTGCCTACAGCAACAGCCTCCCTTAAGAGCAAGACTGAAGGCACACTTGGTGCTGCTAGCATCCCACTACTCTAATTCCAAGAGAGAAACTGTGCTTTTGTGAATTTATTAGCCAGTGCCATTAACTGCCATTAGTTAGCTCTCACATATTATCGTAACTGGGATTTCAGATGATTTGTAGTTTTGCTGGCTTGTTTTCTTGTCAGTGGTTTCAGAAGTCCATCCAGCCAAAAGCGGAAAAGTTTCAATGTTATGCCAGGGATGGCTGGCTCCCTTTGGCCCTGGGAAGTGAAGGCAGTGAGGAAGAGTCACTGACTATTTCAAAAACAAAGAACAGATGTTCCACATATTAAGGAGCTAAGTGTCATTCCAGGGACTCGTGCGAGTGGCACGCTCACTTACAAAGAGTAGCTGTTCCAACAAGGTCATTTATGCTTTAATGCAATCAGTTATGCCAGTATTGATAAAGAAGAAAATAACTACAACCTGGCAATGAAGCATCATTACATTATAAGCAATACTATCTCCTTAGTTCAAGCTTCCTCAAAAATCCCAGTAGAGTCCAGTTTGTACATAAGACAAGAGTGTTCCTTCCTTTTCTGTGCTGCAGGACAAAAGGGGAGGGGGTGCCTGTTGAACCCAAGATCCCAGTAAGAAACCAGAAGCACGTCTGACAGCACATCTCCAGACGGACAGCCTGGAACCCCCTCACTCCTGCACAGGCACCGCCAAGCCCCACCACACACCTCATCTGTTCCCACTGCGCAGCGACCCATCTTGTTCCTCACAGGAACGAAGCTGCTTTCAGTGTGAGAGCACCAAATCAAAGTTTAATCGTTTTGTCCTCCAGAGCTTTATGCCATCTTTTACAGAAGCTTTGTCAGACATGAAGAACTATCAGTGGCTGGCTTAAAAAGGGAATAACTGACTGACAGCTAAAAAAAAACCTGCTAAGGACAATAGCATTTGCCAGTCTGGCATTTCTCATCTGAAGACAAAATGCATTTTATCAACACCCTGAAATTATTTTGTCAACAAAATTCATTTTGTAGCATTCCCTTCACCTGTCAGGCTGACAGAATGCTCTGGAATGGTTTAAACCCCATTTTGCTGACACAATTAACTCAGTTCTGCCTTGCCATGGCACGAGCCGGGAGGTGCTGCAGCAGTCGCGATGGAAGCGCCGAGGCGCAGCTGCAGGACTGCACCAGTCCCAACGAGAGCAGCGAGCAACCGGCCACATGGAGACAAGAATCCTGCTGGGTAAATCCTGCCTTCACAAGTTACGTGATCTCATTGAGACCGTTATGAAACCATAAATGAGAGCTGATTGACAGACATGCCAATTTATACTGAATGCTAACAAATGCTGGTAACGGTTATTTCTGGAAACAAAAGCTCCATCAAAGCTTTCTTTAACCTTGTTTCTACATCTTTTACCAGTTCCTGTCACCAGCCTCCATCTCAAAAGGCAAACTCAGGGTGTGAGTTGCTGCGTGGCACCTTGGTTTCATATTTTAGTCTCCCGCAATGCACTTTCTGACTTCCTGGATGTGGCTTCAGGCTGGAGCAAGGAAAAGCTGGAGCAGGTGGATGTGCCTGAAGCTGTGACCCCATGGAGAGCCCACACTGGAGCAGGAACCGTGGCCATAGAGGACCCAGGCTGGAGCACTGTGTTCCCAAAGGACTGTCTCGAATGGGAGGGACCCCATGCTGGAGCAGGGAAGGGCATGAGGGTGAAGGAACAGCAGAACAAAGCATAAAGAACTGAGCACAACCCCCATTCCCTGTCCTCCTGCACCACTCAGAGGGAGGAAGGAGAGGAGCTGGGAGTGAAGTGAGCCTGGGAGGAAGGGAGGGCAGGGGCAAGGTGTTTGGTTTGTCACTATCCTGTTCTAGTTTACTCTGTAACGCTGTAAATGAATCTCTTTTGCCTGTGATGGCAAGTGTGGGTGATCCCCCTGTCCTCACCTTCACATGGGAGCTTTTTCACCTCACTTTCCCCCACTCTTCCTGAGAGGGTGGAGCAAGAGCAGCTTGGTGGGTGCCTGCCAGCAGCCAGGGTTAACCCACCGCATCTGTGGTGAGTCAATGTCTGAGCTGGAAAACAAGAGCCTCAACCCAATGGATACCGCTGCTTCCTCCTACCTCTGTGCTACCTACCTCTGCTGTGTGCCCGAGAACCCAGACCTTCAATGCCCATCACAGAGTCACAGAGTTAAAATCTGGCCCATCCTTCCCTGTTCTGCCCGTGCTGGGGTTTTGTACCACTGGCACACAGCCCCTTGCTCATTCCCATCCTCCTTCTGCTCCCGATGGTGTCGAGGCCTTTACACTCACATGATTTAAATAGACCTGCTCCTGCTGGGCCTTTTTTTGAGACTGAATCATTAATTCATTAATCTGTTTTTCATATTTCTAAATCGAGACAGACATGACTGGTGTGGATGATCAATACTGCATTCTCTCACTCCTCTCAGTTCCCATCATTTTAGAATCTACCCTGCTTTTAATCTTAGGTCATTTGAATAGGAATTGGCTTTATGAAGAATTTGACAGTTCATTATGGCAGCCCCATGCTAATAGATTTAATAATTCATATCTGCATTGGTCACTTTTAACTGATAATACACATTCCAGGGCTGCTTCATGACTGCGTTCTTGCAGTAACAGCTCTGGCCTTCCCCAGTGATCTCTCATTGCATTATCAACACACGGGGACTGCATCTGTCAAGACTCCACCTGTGTTTTCGGGGAGTGCAAGTCACCCCAGGCTGCACCACGGCCTCTGCAGTGTAACAAGCTCCTCTGGTCCCACAGGCAGACGAAGGCAATGAGGCAGAGCTGGCACATGGAGCTGTTGCACCCAGCAGAGATCTCTGTCAAGAGGAAGCAGCACCCACCTCCCTGCTCTGAAGGACACGTGCCTTCCAGCAGCATGACATCATGGTGGGGTGGCCTTGGCTGGCCACCAGGTGCCCACCCAGCTACTCCATTACTCCCCCTTCCCAACAGGTACAGGTGGAGAAAATACAACAAAAGGATTCTGGATGGAGATAAGGACAGGGCCAGGGGAATGAGCACAGGGACATGGCTCAGCAGTTACCATCACAGGCAAACAGATCTGGCCTGGGGAAATTACCTGAATCTATTGCAGTCAAACCAGCAGAGGATAATGAGAAATAACAAAAAATCTGAAAACACCTTCCCCAGCCTTCCCTTCCTGGGCTCACTTCACCATCACCTCTCCACCTTCTCCCCCTGAGCGGTGCAGGGGGATGGGGAATGGGGGTTGCGGTCAGTTCACCACACGTTGTCCCTGTGGCTCCTTCTTTCTCACACTCACCCCCTGCTCCTGCATGGAGCCCCTCACATGGGAGACAGTCCTGCACAAGCTTCTGCAATAGGGCAGCACTTCTTCCAGCATGGGGTCCCTCGGGAGCAGACTGCTCCAGCGTGGTCTTGCCAAAACACCCATCCCAGTGTGGGCCCCTCTCCATGGGTCCCCAGTCCTATGAGAAGCCTGCTCCAGTGTGGGCTCTCCATGGAGTCACAGGCACATCCCCCTGTTCTCATGTGGGATCCTCCCCAGACTGCAGGTGGGTATCTGCTCCACCATGGACTTCCATGGGCTGCAGGGACAGAGCCTGCCTCACCATGGGCTGCGGAGGAATCTTCTGCAGCCCCTGGAGCACCTCCTCCCCTCCTTCCTCACTGAGCTTGGTGTCTGCAGCGTTTCTCTCACATTTTCTCACTCCTCCCTCCTGTCTGCTGTTGCACAGTTTTTACCCTTTCTTAAATAAGCTATCACAGAGGTACTACCACCATCCCCTATGGGCTCAGCTTTGTAAAGGGCAGGTCCGTATCAGAGCTGGCTGGAACTGGTTCTGTCCAACACAGGCGCAGCTTCTGGCATCTTCTCACTGAAGCCACCCTCACACACCCCCACTACCAAAACCTTGCCACATAAACCCAATGCAGACACCGATCAAGCAACACAGCCCAAGCCATCTGCTCCTTCTGACCCCTGCCCCCTCCGCAGCAGATGACGAAGGACAGTATGAGACCTACCAAGTAAGCAAAAGGTCTGAGAATGGATCACACAAGTGCCTTTAATTGATACACGCACCTCTGGCAATAGCTCCCTTGTCAACTAACCCCAGCAAGTATTTATTAATGAAACTCTCCTGATTTTTGATTCATTTGATTGTAAAAGCTTGTGGAACTCGTACTGTTATTACTCATTGTTATTAATGTTCACAGCTCAGCCTCTCTCTTTCCAATATGCTCCCCAGAGGAAATTGAAGGCTGAAGTCAATCGTTACAGTAAACGACTGATGGAGCCGCTTGAGGATAGGAGTAAGCTGCTGCTCTGGGACCTGCTGCTCCGGGACTGCTGCAGGTTACTGGGAGTAAGTTAATCTTCACACACAAGGACTGCAAGGTAAGAGGCTGATTCAGGTGCGTTCTGAGCACCGAGCATCACCCTAACAAAGCGGTCTGTGCACAGGACCTGTGACCAAGGCCATATTTTGATCTACGTGCGGAAACAGGTCTGAGTTCAGCAGGAGCATGGCCCCTGCTGGGCAGGAATGACACAAATACTCAGACAGATGCTACAGGCAAGTCAGCACAGCCTGGCAGAAAGCACATCTCCATGCCTGCACATACTGAAGGAAAGCAGAGCAATCCTTGGAAAGTTTCATCCTCTCTACCCCTCTGCAACCGCTCATTCCTCAGAAAAGGTCAAGGACAACACCACAGGGCACAGCAGGCAGACCTCCAGCATGCAACACTCAAATGCGTATGGAGGGGAACAGCACGCTGCTTGCTTCCCTCTGCCCCTTCTTCAAGCCTTCTCTACCCATCCACAGCCTCTTTGCTGCACAGCATTTGCCAATTCTTGCACCACATACAAACTCCTCAAGCCAGAATGGTGGTAGTGCTCCTACCTCTGTGGTAGAGGAGGTGCTTCTAAATCCTCAGTAGCGCTGTTACACCACCTTGCCAGAGCAATGTATTTGCTCATGTTGTATTTTCCAAGTCTACAGAGCCCACATACCATATTCAATGTATTATTCATCTCAAATAGAGAATTCTGCAAAGCAAGAAGAAATAAAAGAGAGCTTAATACAGCTTTACTAAAATGGAATTTGCCAAAGACTCACAGAAAAATGGATTTAATTAGGGCTGGTAATGGGGAACGGTTTGTTCCCGTGATTTAAAGCAGAAGTTAGATAGTGTCTATAATTTCAACATTTTAAATTATATATAGGGGGTTATTTCTCATTTCTACCTTAATTATAAAAATCTATCTTTATGAATCACAATTTTGAGGCAAATAAAGCAAAGGCAGCAAAAGTGATGTTTTAGTTAAAACTTTTAAGAACTCACAAAAGAAGCAACAGACACTTCAGTATGGATAACACAGGCTTGCCATAGCAAACAAGAGTTGCAGGCAGTCCTCTGGGTGCCACTTATGGACACCACCACAAAGCTAACCTTTTACTTGGGAAAAGGTGTGTAAAGGAAGGTGTGTTCTGTTACAGGAGGTGAAACTGGGTCGATTTTGTGCAATAATCGAATGTCCTGCATTAAATTTTGCAGCTAAGCAGCACATTAGACTTGCAGGCATTGCTGGCCTAATGTGCTCCAGTCGGTAACCCCATGTACTAGAAACCTCTGCTACCCCTTCTGACGCTGCTTTCAGAACCTCTGAATTACGCTGCTTTCAGAACCTCTGAATTGTCAACGCTGTTTCTCCAGACAAAAGGGCCACTGAACCGTGCCAGAGCCGCTCCTCCCGAGCCTCCTCCGGAGCCTCTGATTTCATTTAAAACTAACAAATGGCACCTTCGAGAAATTCCTCCTGGTGGCTGGCTCTGACCTAAGCAACTGAGTCACAGCCTTGTACAGCACTGATTAATGCAGGCACAAATAACCCAGGCAAGTGACGAGCACACCGGGCCCAGCCGCTCTCCCGCAGCACATCCTGCACCCACCAGAACGTGTGTTAATATTGCACCTCAGCTCAGGACAGAATCAATGAGTGAAGTTCAAATGTGGCACATTTCCTATTTCCCTGACAGCTTATTTCATGGATCACAGGGACCAAAGTACAGCTGCTTATTCAACAGAGGAAAGAATGAATCAATTTTCATTCCTTAATATACTGTGTGACCTATTCTCTGATGCTCTCTCCTTTACAATGGCTCCAGTCTTTTCAAGGCCCTCAATTTTGTCAGAGAGAGAAAATTTAGAATAGTGACAAAACGCCCCGGCCCATGCCTGCTTCGACTGACCGACCGCTCTGCCAGGAAGAGGTGCACGTGAGAGATACCGCATCAATCCACCTGAGTTACACAAACTGTGATCCCATGTCATCAGAAAGGAACCAAATTCCTGAAAGATGATTTGCTGGTGTTTTGCTGGGGAATACTGCTCCTGCCTGCTCCAGGAGCTCAGCCTGTGCTGCTGCTCAGCACCGGACACAGGGAGCTCGGAGGAGCTCAGGCTGTGAACCACCACTCAAGACCAGGTGCACAAACACAGTGAGTGCCACCTCCCCACCCATGGTCCCCAAGACCATGCCACGCCAAGCAGTGAGACCAAAGCCCTGTTGATCTGCTCACCCAGCAGTCTCTCTGAAGCTAGCAGATAATGATAGCAGGTCTTCAGGCACTGCTAATTTGGCCAGAATTAATACACTGAGATGCATCTTTTTGCAATTTCACTGTGAAGATCATTTTTTCATTTAGAAATACCTTCAGGTTTAACCACCCTCTGCCTGCCTTGTGCTTGTCTTGCCTTATTTATCCCTGGTCCACAGGCAATACTCACGTTGTCCTTGTCACTGATAACAGCCTGGGCTTTTTTACTGTGACATTTTTCAAAGCAGGAAGGTGAGGCTCTGCACAGGAGAGCAGAGCACAGGGGTGAGGCTGGACCCCAGCGCTGCCACAGCCACCCCGGAGCCACTGGCAACAAGACAAGGGGCATGTGAAGAGCCAGCAGCCTGAAGAACTAGACACGGTGTGAGCGGGCAAGCTGGGACGGGAAGCACCCTGGGACCTCCACAGGCAAATGGGATTTCTGGTTCTTCTTTCTCAAGCTCTCCTTCTGCCCAGAATGAAGGTGAGACCCCATGTGGCTTGCCTGGCCTTAAGACATGAAGGTAATGAATCAGGCCCTATCAGAATATTATCTAGATGAAACAGACATATCATGGCCAGCTTTATTTGCTTTTGTCTTTACATATCCAGTAGTTCAACTCCAGGGCTTTCAAAGCACGTGCATTTAACAAATGCCAGTACTTCAGGGCCCAGGAGCACACAAACTGCTTTTCCAGTTCATAAAATGAATCTGCGAAGAGCGTGGGTCACTAAACAGCTGCAACAAATGTTGTAGGCCAGACCTGTGCCTCGGCAGCCAAGAGCTGCAGTGGAGGCTGCTGCCCCTGAGAGATTAATTCTCCTTTTTTATTTCTCCTCAGTGGTGGGAACACAACAGGAGCTGTGTAGTCGGCATGAAAGGGTCTCCCCTCCTCACCAAAGACAGGTTCCCTCCACACCAGCCTGCAGACTTGTGGCTGTCTTCACATTTTCTGTATAAGATCAACTTTTCCTTCTCAGTTTTATCAGACTTATCCCTGCCACCAGCCATGCCTCTCCTGAGCAGAGCAGCTCAGCTGCCCATGAGCCGGCTGCTCCCAGTGCTCTGTTCATTATGGCACTGTCCCGGTGCTCTTCTCATGCAGCCAGGGTTGTTCTGCACCAGAACAAGACACCTGAACTTCCCAGTGATGGAGTTTTGGCAGACAGCTCTGAAGAACAACAATGAGGGATGGAGGCTGAGCAGCCAGCAGCTGAGGTTCACCTGGTTAGCTTTGGATGCAGGAACAAGCACTGTGTGTGTGGCGCTGGGCACATACTGCCATAGGGGTTGGTGTGCTGCATCCCTGTCACCAGCACCCATAGCTCTCAGAGAATATGCCAAAACTGCCCACTATGTTCTGTCAAAGTAGCGTTCAAAATCGAGTTTTAACAAGACCTTTTCCCTTCAAACAATATACAGATTAATAGTCAGCAGCATCTGAAAAATGGCCCTAATCCCTGTCTGCACAGGGAGTTTGTTCCCAGTGCAATGTGCCATATTATGACAACGATATATTCTTCAAATGAGTGAAAACTAATGAATAACTAACACCCTGACAGTCTTGCTGTTACTGAGTGCTTAGGAGTTGGGTAAAACTGACAGTGTAAGATGAATACGGCACTAAGATGAGATGTTACCTTGCATGGCTGGCCAGGGGAATTCAGACTTAATGGACATTACAGATGGGTTAATTCTGAAGGCTGGATTTGATCCTAAGCCATAGCTACTCTCCAAGTAAATAGGGAAGGCTTAATCACTCAGACAACTGAGCCCAGGCAGCAGTCCATTCATGAAGGGAGCACCGGGAGCATGGTCCTGGGAGCAAGGATGCAAGTCTGCCTGCTGCCTCTGCCTCCCTGAGAGCAGGCAGAGCCCCTGCCCACCCATGAGTGCCCAGCAGAGCTCAGGCAGACTTTTTGTACTGTGCTGCAGATGCAGGACGGTCCCTCCCAGGAGGGATCCCCAGAGCACACCGAACGTGCACTGGAATCACGAGGTGCCAGTGAGATCATTCAAGCTGCAAGAGGATGGGCAGTATGATCCCAGAATCGAATGTGGCTGTTTGCCCAGAACACTGTGGAGCCCCACAGTATTCATGGGTTTCAAGAGGCTTCAGAGACACCCCTGCAGCAGAGCCTCACCTGCCAGCTCAGTGCAACGATCAGACACAACCACTGCTCTAGAAGGACTGTGAGCAGGATCTCTGAGGACTGCAGGCAAATAATCCCATCATCCATGCCCTGTCTGCTATGGGTTTTCACAAGCATCTCCTAATGGCTGTGGCAAAAAAAAAAAAAGCCCCAAGCTAGCCAGCCCCCCACACCACACTGAGCTTCCTCTCAGACCTCCTTCATGGTGGTGCTGGGGGTCATTCAAAGGCCTATCACAGCCAGAACCCCTGCAGCATTCCCCACACTCAGCAGAGGATCATGGTCAAGGGGGGGATCTCCTGTGTCTGGGTTAGCTCTGCCCATACCCGGTGTAAGACAAACTACAGTGTGGTGGGCTCCCTCCTACACCTGGCTTGCAGCAGCAGGCACTTATCATGCATTCCTTGAGACCTGACATGGCTGTATCTTGCTTCCACCCTCATTCCCTTTAGTTTAAATTCAGTCAAGGACAGATCTCCCCCCTCAGCAGATACAGAGCAGGTCCCAGTGTGTACCTGTTTCCAGGAGCAGAGGCTTCAGGTGATGACAGCCTTGCAGTGTGTGAGCCTGGCAAAATCACAGTCACACTGATGTCAGGATGGTCCCTGAGCTTCTTACCACAGGCACAAACCAGGAGGAGCCAGTTCCTGTAATTAAAAAGTTGAGCCATATCAGAGGAAAACTAATCAGCTTGTTGGATGCCAGCAAATTAAATATTAATCTAACCATTGTGAACACAAAAATGTTCATCTTCAGATATTTTCTGGCACAAGTGTCAAAACCAGAGTGGAACCAAAGCTTTATTCATTTTCCATTATCAACTTAAATAAAAACACTCAGAAAAATGGGCAATGACTGCAGAAGCCACTCAGCACAGATAATTACAGTGTAAGTTTAGGCAGCTAATCACTCCTAGAATATGCTTCAGATCAAGATAACTCTGACTGGCTTGTTTCCCTGCCTTGTTAAATCAGACACTCTCAGCTCTGCCTGATGGGGATGAGGCTCCCAGAGTCAGCATCTTTAAATAACAATAGGGCTGTCTGGCAGGCATAGAAGTCACCCTGCCACCCAGCAGCAGGATGGGTAGGAAGCCTCTGCTCTAGGAAAACAAAGCAGAAAGAGGCAGGGACGCTGTGGAAGCAATGCTGGGAGATGGGACGGGCAGCGGCAGGCAAGAGCAGGGAGAGGGGAGGAATGCAGGGAAGATGTGGGAGCAGAAGCACAGGGAGCCATAGGCAAGGACACGCTGCAGAACTGAGGCACTGCTGCAGCTGCAGCAGAAGGAAGGGCCAGTGCTGTGGGGCAGCAGCTCTGGCTTTGGCAGTGCTCAGAGGAAGAGCTGCCCACGGGGCAGCCCCACACCCCTCACCCCCTGCCTGGGGCTCCTGGTGCCCCACTGCAGCGCTGCCGTGCCACAGCCGAGCCTTGCTGCAGGAGGACAGCAGTGGGGTGCAGAGGAGATGATGCGCTGAAACCAACAGGTTCTCCTGCAAGAGACTCCACTACTTTGGACTGTGAACAAGGGGTGATGGTCCACAACCGTTTCTCTGGCTTGCCAGGCCCAACCTTCCCAGTGGGTGCCAGCCCACATGCTTTACATTTCAGGTTCAATGAGGGCCTGACCATTGCTGGAGTGGCGAGCAGCACTGGGCAGATACAGTGAACGTGGTGTATGCCCCAGGGGATGGAGAGATCAGCATCCACCTGGGACAGAGCACACTCAGCTGCAGCCTGGGTAATTCTGCACTGCCCAGAGTCTGACCACTGCATTTGCTTTATCAAGAGCAGATAAAATGAACTCCCCTCGATTCCAGTGGATCACCCTTACATTCTCAATCACTAATTTACATGGGCTTTTGCCTGGAACTAGGGCAAGAATTATCTTTATAGCAGCATTCATGGACATTCTTTCTTCTGCTTAATTATTAACCTTGCTGTAGTAAATAAAGGGTGTTTATGAATTCCATCAATCACTACAAACCTTTTGCATGTAAAGCACAGAGACATTTGTAATGAAGAAGCAGCATTCACACTTTTGCTTTATTTAAAGCAATGAATAAATATAGCCTGTGGATGCTCTCGTGCAGTTTCTTAAATCCGAAAGCCTGCCAGCGGCTCTGCCTGACTTCCTCCCTGCTTCACTGCAACAGCCTAAGAGAAGAGTGGACTGGAATACACGGGGACTTTAAAGAGCTCAGACGCCCTTCAGTGATACAGGTTTCGGAGATGGCAGAAGCTCTGTCAATTAACACAGTGCTCGGTGTTCTCTTTTAGAGCCAATGTCTGCCCATGTCAGCTGTGCATCAGGCAGACTCCAGCCATCTCAGCAGCCTTTCTCCAGTCTCACTGATGGGCTGTGTTCTGTGGAATGCTGGGTTGAGCTATTTCTTGTCCTTAAGATCCCCAACAGATAGAATGCACAGGGGAAGTGCCAGCCACTGAATTATTCAGTGTCATCCCCAAGATTGGCCTCACCATCGAAAATGTATCTCTTTAGAGACACACAACTAAAGCAGTAGCTTTACGCATCCCAAGACACCTCTCCCAGCTATTTATACATCCTATTGCTAAACAGGCATTGCCAGGGTTTCTTCTTCTCATCCACTTTGACCCTGACAAACAGAAGTTTCCCTGAACCAGACATACTCTCTTCTGTTTTCCAAATACTCGTGAATCTTTTCTCCCTCTTGAATTAAGTAAGCCATGATCTTTAGTTATGTGTTGCTTTGAATCCTGGGGGCTCAGCACAAGCAACTGCAAGAGGAGACAGTAAATTATTTTAGCTGAGCAGCACAAACAAGTGAGAGCTTTTGTGGATATGAAATGAAAATGACCATGCTCTCATTCTGGAAGAAACTGTGGTATTAGAAAGCATAAAACCTACACTCTTCAGATTCCAGTAGGCTTATGTTGTATTAATTATTTATCAAGATGTTTTCTTAAAGTAGTGTCTTTGTGCCTTTAATTTTCAATTCCCTTAATGCTATGAGGATCTCTACTGGCAACACATCAATTATTAATGGAGTTAAAACAATATTTGTTTTCCCCAACCACATTTTGGAGCGCTATCTTCACACCAGTTTGGCTTCTCTGAATCTTCCCTGAGGGGCTCTGCTTTCCTCCAGACTCGTGGCTGAGGCTCAGGCTTGGCTTTCATTTGGCTGCGGGAGCTGGCATGGCACCGCAGCCGCCGGGCCGCGGGACGGAGCAAGCTCAACAGACATGAGGAGGGCACAGCAACGGCAGCGCGGAGGAAATGGGAATGTCAGCTGCCGAGTTCAGAGGTTCTGTTGTTGTAGGGACTGCTCTGCCTCTCCTCATTGCAGCAGCTGTCCCCAGGCTCAGCCTCTGGCTCCCTGGGTTTGGAAGACTTGCCTCCTAACAAAGAAAACAACAGTGCAGCTCCTGAAATCTGCAAGCAAGCCACTCAATTCAGCAAAGGGATACTGGGGTTTAAGAACTTTATGCAATCTCAGCCACTTCTCTCTCTGCCAGGGAGCACATAAAAAATTAAAACCCCAAAAAAAGCAAGAAGATTTTCTAGGCCCTAATTATAAATATATTTTCACAAGGAGAGTCAACTTAAGCCTAATATCGTGTGAAATCTCATCATTTCAATACAGTCTTCACTGGATGTAGACTGGCAATTGGAGCTGTGGAATCAATTTTTCCCATACTTGAAACACCCAAATAGAGTATGAAACGTGTTGCATTTGTTCCATGCACGTCTCCAGTTCTGCACTTTGCTTGCAGAGGAATGATCATTCTGATGTATTTTTTATAACAGAGCAACATTTCCTCAGACTTTGATGTTTCACGTGTTGAACCATTATAACCATTTGCCATTTCGATGCATGATCCGTGGCTCATCTCCAAAGCTTTGATGCATGCAAGAATTAGTACTATTGATGTCATTGCACCATATTTAAAATATGAACACCTCTTTGTAAGTCTACAGCTAACAGAGGAGGGAGGCAGCCAGTCCACACCAAGGCTGGCAAGCTCCTGTTGGTAAACCTGCCACACAGTGCCGGGTGACATCCTTCAGTGAGAGCAGGAAGGTGATGCAATGCGTGCTCTGGTCTCTGTACACGGAGAACAGCTCTAGGAAATTGAACCCTGGGGTCTCCAGACACCACATTGTGGGCATTGACCCTGAACTCAGCTCCACGGCATGTTGCAGCAACTCCTGCACCTGGGGCCCTGGGTACTTCTATCTGCAGCGTGTAGCACTGTGGGTCTGTATGCATTGGGAAGAGTCTGCCTGGAGCATACAGGACAAGATTAGCATGATTCTGAAAATGGAGGGCTCAAGCTGCTGGACTCAGCCTCTTCCCAAGGACACATGGAAGCAGCCTGCAGTGCAGTCTGGCTTAAAACAGCTGGCTGGCACCAAGCTGAAGTTGTTACCCTGCACCTCCTTACAAAGAAAGATATGCAAACAACAAAACTCTGCCTCCCGCAAGCCAAGCACCTGGGAGCCAGCCTGTCTGGATAGGGCATGCCCTTGTGCCTCTGCAGCGAGACAACCTTCCTGCTCCTTCGCAGGAGGTGTTCATTACAGGCTGCCTTTGCCCTGCTCAGACTCCACTGGTTGGGCTGACACGTCATGTCTGAGTAGACATTTCATTGATTTTATTATGTACAGCCAGTGTTTTACATGGCAGGATCAAGAGGGAGAAGACACAGAGTGATTAGCTGAAAAAGAGAACCAAAGCAGGAGGCCAGCAAGGGCTGATGCAAGGATGGGGAGGCGAGGGCAGACAAGAGCATCAGCAGTCAGGGAAGAGGTGAGGCTCTCTGGAGCCACAAACCAGTTACACATAGCAAAGACATTGGCTGTTCACATGGTCTCATCTTGCCTCCCAGCCTTACACAGGTATCCTGATCCCAGCCATGGCCTTTCTTATCTCTGCCTCCTAGAAGGTGCATGTGATCACCTCGCTCATGCAGTCCTGACCTGCTCTGCTGGCTGCAGAACCTCTCCTCCTCCTCCCTCAGCCCATGGTGCCTCAGGCAGCTGCTGGTAATTCAGAGGCTGAGCCCTGCTATGCAAAGAGGCTACAAAAATAGCTCCCAAAGGCTCTGGATGTAGCCAGCTACCTGGAAGAAAACGTGAACCCGCGCAGAAAAGTGAACCCAGAACGCTATGCAGGTTCTGACCAAGGATAAAAACTCTTCCCTGGCAAGCAGGAATTCCTTTGTTGGCCTCCAAAGGCAGAGCTCTGCATAGCTCTTGGCAACCCCAGTGGACACACTCATGTTCTCGGTATCCACCACCCCCTTCTCAATTGCTTTTAAGACCATCACTATACATACTCTTTCTTTACACTGCCAAGCTAGAGACTCTCAGTGCCACAGTTAGTCCAGCTGTGCTGTACTGTCACTTCATCCCAGAAGCACAAATCAGGGAGAGACAAGTGTAACTTACTCCTGCATGAGCACTCTAACGTCCATGCCTGATAAACTGACAGCACAGAAGACAAACATGACAAGAGCTGGCTTTACAGATCACTTTATCCCCTTTATGGTTAATGGGGCTCTGGGGGTAAAATTACTGAACTCTCCAGTTCCAGCTCTCCCAGGCAGTTCTGCTGCTCCCTTGATCCAAGGCTGAACAAAATCAGCCAGTTTGCTGCATGCCCCAGCAAAGGCTCAACCTCATCTGACCAGTGCAGAGCACAGAACCAGCAGCTGCAGGGAGGTGAATTCACCACTGGCAGAAGTCACACTGCCTCCGCTCCTGGCTGTGGGATTGCTCACTGCGGAGCCAGCCCCGCGCCATGAAAAGGCCTCAGCAGCGTTCACGTAT